AAAAGAGTGGAAGAATCGTGGAGCGAGGGAGAAGAAGAGTGGGAGAAAGAACCATGGGCATGGTGTTGACCGGGCTTTGAACCCTGATCCCACTGGAGTACTACGCCGTAGTACGGACTCCGTCGGGATTGGTTGGCCCGCTCTTCTTGGCTCACCACACTATCAACCCTGCTTCTCTCCCGTTCCACCCTTCCCTTTTCTGCCGCGTTAACAACAACCCTTTCCTCTCGAGACTCTCTATCTCTGGCCATTTTGTACCCGCGTGGCGGCCAACTACCGAGAATATCCTCGAGCGCGCCGTCGACTACGATGCGCGCCTCGCGGAGCATTGCGAATGTTTACAAACACTTTGCCTACATGCAACCACTCTCTAGAACTGCACCTTCTACGATCGCGCGGATTTTTTCTTTCTATTTCATCGTTTTCTTTTCGCTTCGCGGGAGTAGAGGATGACGCGATCGAAAAAGGCCGAGTTTCCCTCCTCCATCAAACGTGGATTTCGTAGGAAATAAAAATATGTTCGCGGGCGAGCGTAAGGAAGAAGCGAAGCACGGTCGGAAGGGCCCGAAGGACGGACGCGGTATATATTTTACGAAGAGACATAAGCGAGCTTCTCGTCTTGCGCATCCTCGAAGACGTCGAACCACAGGCGACTACCGCTTTGTCCTTACTTGAAGAGGCCGACGGTAGTGGATGGGATGATCTTCATCGATGGTGGGGCAAGAAAGATGAGCAGGGTAGAGGAAGGCAGGGAAGGTGGAGGACCGTTGCACTGACCGGGCTTTGAACCCGCTATGTGGTAAACAACAGGTACGTTGCACCCATGGCGCAATTTGTAAGAGCCCAGTCCGAAGAAGACTTCTTCAGGAAGCCACGGTCCGAAAATAATACCAAAGACCACTTCGAATAACGGCTACCTGCCCTACTACCTCCGCTCGGTTTCTTCCTTCCTTGGCAAATTGCAAAGAAAAAACTACAGATCGTGTCCTGTGATTGGGAGCTACGCGGAAACGCGTCCAGGAAAGTAGAACTGTCCGAGGCGTGCTCGAAACCCACTCGAGAAACTCGAAATGAGATTTTATTCGAGTCCAGAGACGTTCCTAAAGAAATTAAATAGCTACCAATTATTTTATACGATTCGAAATTATAAGACGAGCCCTGGGGGCCTTCAAACTGTTTTCGAGCGGGTTTAATCGAAGCGATTATTAATGCTTCTTTGTTTTGATGATGTACTGTGAACATTCTCTAACGAGGAAGTGGACTATCGGTTCTAATCGGAGGCAAATGGTATCTGGATGGCACAGCGCCGTCGACTTCCGCTTTACAAAGGCAGCTGGAGCCTTGGATATCAAATCTCGTCGCACGTTTAACGAGATGTCGTAACATTTGCCGTTAAACGCGCAATAATTCCGATTGCTTTGCATTAATAATCGATAATTCTGCTAAACCCGTTTCAACGCTACGCGAATCAACGCGGTATATAATTGGAAACTGTTTACACAACAATTTGAATTACCGAGCAGCAAAATGTAGCGATAAGTAACAGTAAAAACAGGATCTCTTTTGTAATAACGTATCAACGACTATGATAGCTTCTCGTGTGTAAAATACTGCTCGAACACGTCGTTTCGACACGCTACCAGAAAATAAATCTATGCCAGTTTACGTAATTTTATGCAAATTCGAATCTGGGTTTGTCGTGAATCGATATCTCTACCAATGGGCCTAGTTACCGACATTTCCAGTTCCCCTTGCGACCACTAACCGTCGCTACTGTCGCAAAATTCCCAACAACTGTTTCTACCTAACACGTATGTTTTTTCCTTATTTAATGTTTAAACAACATAACATCTACCAGACGTATTATTCGTTTCAAATCGATCGTCGATTACAATTTAAATTCGTCTTTCGATACATGTATCTCTCCTAAAATGATTTATAAAACACAAACAATGATGATAAATAAAAGGCTTTTGCTGTTTTTCTGAAAGAAAGTGTGGCAAAATTAAAGTTACAAACATTTCCGAAAATATTGCTTATCTTTACACGCGTGGATTCCCACGGTAATAAGCCGACAACAAAATCGAGGTCACTTCCGGTTTTCATCACGGAGGCATCTTTCTTAAATATGACGCCTAATTCTATATTAAATTTAATGTCTGATGCTCTGGTATTCATAAATTATTAATTTATATTATTCCCTCAGTGAATACTGAATATTTATCAATGAAATTCCAAAATTCTGCTCCTGTACTATATTTTTAATCTCTTTTTCCGATGTCAATTGAAAAACAAAACAGCTGTTGAAAAAGTTGAATGCAGAGACGTGCAATTTACGATATTTCTTCGATAACGCGTGCATCTCGTATTGTTATTCCAGAGAACGGGTCTCCCTTTGTTTTTATACAAAATTGATATCGGAATTCGAAGAATTCCTGTGATCGTATTGGCCGAGGCTACGGGCGAGGAACTCTCATTCAAGAATGAACGTCGAAATGTGAGCGTATCGTCTAAAAATACTGGCGGTGGGCCGAGGTGCGCCTAGCAACAGAGATTGCATAGAAGCATAACTATAGTGAACGTGCGTGTTTATACGACGAGGCACAACGAGGACACAAGTTACGAAAAAACGGAGCCTGAGCGACGAACGCGTTGCCATACGTTAAAATTACTTTTAACATTTCGACGTCCGATTCTCGATGCGTATCGAAACTTTGATTTACATTGTTTCGAAACATAATATTCAGTAGATTGGTCAGTTACGAAACAATTTTTACAGGAACACTTTTATCAAATAGATCCTTGTTTTTTTTTATCTCGAAATTTCTTTGGTCTCACCTGCTCCCCCAAAATGGTTTTTTAATTCATACAAAAATAATACCACTATAATATTTCTCTCCTAACGTCGTACTACTTTTCTATATATTTTCTACGTCCAAAAGCATCAGAAATATTTCAGACAATTTTTCTATACCATTTAGAATAATAAATGCAGTTTTACACGCGTATCGAGCTTATATTTTGTAGGAATTTTGTAAAAATCATTCAGGATTCGAGACCAATAAAATTAACGAAAAAAAATGTTCATTTACGGTTAAGGATCACGCAAGTGTATATCGAGGTACATTGAAAAGAGCACAGATCGCAGAGAGACACGTGCACCGTCTTTTTGGAGAAGAGTTCCCTGAATACAGGGGCCACGTGGCTTTCTAAGTGAAAACGAGATTCTTTCTTTACATCCCCCCTTTCTATTCCCATCAGAATACCATGGCATATACCTCTGGCTAAATCGCTATCCGAATATGAAAACGAAATTCGATCTTACGATTATTTTAAACCGCTTACTCAGTCCGTTTCACTGAAGTAATTCTTGCATAATTTTCTGACCTCGATTTTGGATTCGTATAGAAATTAATAAATAATTATGAATTCTATTAAAAAAAAAAAATGATGCATTCGCGGATCTTTCGAACGTAGAATGCATTGTACTTTATATTCAAGATATAAAGTTTCGAGTCTGATCGTAGTAACCAAGAAATCGGTCCTTGGAGCAAGAAAAAGAAACGTGGGAAGTAAATTCGAAGCGTAACTTACCGAAGGTAAATACGATCGGATCCGAAGGAACACCTGCCTCTCAGCCGACTTAGAGTTACTCTCTCCTGGGCACAGCTTCCGTTGCACCTGTTTGAATCTTCAACAAAACAAATTCTGCGCACTCTTTCGTTCGGCGCAAGGAGTCTGTAGGTACTGGGATTGAAGGAGTAGTAGGGTGGTGTTTGCTGTAACAAGGTAACATATTGAATTAGAAAAATGATAGGATAGGTGGTAAAAACAACCTACAAAGTGATCGAATTATCAAGGATGAGATCATGGATGATGCATACCCACAAACCATATTATTCTCTTTAAAATAAATACTACCATCGATCGGGAAATTAAATACGTGTACGAGGATTAACATCTACGAGGAGCCAAGTACACGGGAATAATACATATACATATAGGTTTCAGGCACCCAGGACTCGTAAAAAATGAATACAGGTTTCTTTTTGTAGATAATTCTTTTTTTTAATAAACATAGGTATTCACTTACGTAGGTTAGTTTTTTTAGACTCTCTTACGATTATGGTTTACATAATAATATTGTCGTTACACATATAATTCTTAGACGAATACCAACTGGAAGTGAGGCACTGGGGTACTTCTGCTCTCCCTTTTCCATTTTTTCCTTGTAAACATTCACCCTCGCAAACAAACATCATGCACACGTGCTCAAGCATATGCAAATCTCCCTTTCACACACTATTTACCGGGGGCCTTACGTCACGTTTGGAACGTACATACACATCTACTTATTACAAATAAGAAGTACACGCTAAGTTATGTTTACTGAGATCATACTAATACATCACAGGGTTACATAGATATACGATTTATATATTCTCTTTTACTATTTTTTTTCGTTTGTTTCCCGACGGCAGACTCTTTGTATCGTAACCATTGCAGATCTAACGAGATTCTATAGTCGTTCGACGCGTTCCTTTGTTTTTTAAAACTGTTTGCTTCGTAAAGGCAGGGGGAAATAATGTTTAGCAGTCTGCCGTTGACTATCAGTTACTTCCGAAAGTATCGTCGAAAAAAGGAAAAGAAAGAATATATAATATTATGTGTTCGACAAATTCTTTGTACGAAAAATTTTGATTTCAATTTAATTTCTTATCGCGAAGCTCTCGCTGTACGCGTATCGCTGCCATGAAAGCGCCATTGAAACTTCGAATACAACGCGACCGGTATGAAAAACGACCACTAGAATTCCTCAACGAATCGATTCATCCGCTCATAGCGCACTCCGCGAGTGAACTACGAAAAAAATAGCTTTGTAACCACCAGTCGTATTTTTGAATTATAATCTCAAAGAGGGGGAGGGGGGAATGATAAACGGATAAGAAGTGTACCAAGGAGCAGGGTGCGAGATAAAAAAAGAAAGAAAAAAAAAAAAAAATAGGGTTGTTCCAGAAGACGGCTTTAACCAAATTATTATAAACAAAAACTTGTAATAAACAGCTACCATTATAAAATCAATATACCATTTAAAGAGATATATAATTACATTTACATTAATGTTACGGTTTTGCGTAAATTCATCTCCAAATCCACGATGAAAAATGTAACGAAGGAAGCTTTGGTTCCTTTTCCAAAATAGCGCGTTGGGCACTTCGAACCTACGTACTTTCGTTAACAGGATATAAAATCATTCGGATACAGATGCACCCTCGCATAATTTAAACTAACCGTTCAAAGACCTCCAGAAGCAACGATTTCTACTCGCCGATTGGTACTAAAAGGAACCCACTACACGTTTGTGCTCGGGTTAATGGAAATCGCGCAAATTTCAGCCTGATAATACCTCCACACGAATGGTGAACTTTCTCGTTAAACCAAGGAGAACTTTCAACGGTTTTTACACTGCACCACCAATGTCTAGGGTCTGATCGTAAAACGTTAAAATCAGGGGGGGAGAGGGGGGGGATTCTTCGCCACAATTTGTACAAGAAAATGCAACGAGATAACAAATGCAAATTCATGACGAGCTAAATGAAGATTGCATCGCGCCGGCCGGCCAGATCAATGAGAATTATAATTCTGATTACTACACGACTGATCATTGTACTATTAACTTCTACCTTACAGAACGTTTAATACGCAATACCAATTCTGAATTCTGCAATCTTCGTGAAGCTTCGATACTCTATGTATAATATACTTGATGCAAATCAGGGCAACGAGAGATGAAAGAAGAGGAGGAGGGCGGGGAGTAGAATACGATCAAGGTTCCTTCTCTGAAGAGATATAAGAAAAAAATCGCGGGGTGATTTGGCATCGGCTGTACATTCTTTAAGTCGTACAGGAGATCAATGCTTGAACATGGGTAACCAGCTACGTATCTAAATCATATCTTTCTCCAAAATTACTGTCCTCGAGAGACTGGTCTCTCCTTCCGGCCACGAAATCGTCATTGCGTTTCCTTTTGTTTTCTCGAACGTTTCACAGAGGTTCACTTTCCTTACTGTATAATTTTTTTTTTTCTTTTTTCGTTTTCAGATACCCTAAGATAGAAATAATTTCGCGATCGTTTCGAGGACTCGGTCGATCGAAACCACCGCGAAATTTCGTCCGGCGAATCAAACTTCGTTTTCATTAGTACGTTATTAGAACATCCGCGAGTCCTCGATAAGCTGAAAAGGGTCGTCGAAGACTCGCGGAGGGTTCAAAATGGGAGCAACTTTTGCCTCCGGGGATTAAAACGGGCCCCTCTGTTTGCCGATGTTTCGATCAGAAACGCAATGCACTTGCCGCTTAACACCTAAGATTCGCTTAAAATTTACGTGTTGTATCCTAAAAATATTAATATATTTTTTGTCTCCTTACACTCCCGTCTAAAGTGTACGCTGTGCAACGACACCATCATCGTCATCGTAATTCAACCCTCCCTTGCTTCATTCTTTAGAATCGAACAAACAAATATATATTACGTTAATTAATTTCGTGAAATCATTACTCTCTCTGTCTGTCTCTCTATATATATATCCTAATTGTTACTCTGTGTTTAACCTAATGCAAAAAAAAAAAAAAAAGATAACGACACGATGAATTACATGTACATGTATTTAAAAAAAAAAGAAAAAAAAAATTATAAAGAATAGAAAAAAAAAATAGCAACAACCGTGGCGTATCGTACTTTCATCCGTCGGTTTCCTCGTGCATGGTCGTCGTTGTTACTATTTTGCAATTTCCGTGGCATGGCTACGAAAAGTGTATGCGCGTACGTAACGAAAACTGGCGATGCTTCGTGGTTTCTTTTCTCCTCTGCCCACCGTTTTCGTCTACATTCATGGCGGATAAATCTACGTGAATGGCACAGCCAACGGACCTCGCGCCTCCTCTGTCGGAGCTTGCTTCTGCCGTTTTCGTTCCTCCTGGCAGTAACGCTTGGCTTCGTGGTTCCGGTCCATCTCTCGCGCGAACAAATGAAACAAGGACAGCGAGGCTGAAGGAGGAAGCCGGGAAGGCTCTTTAGCTGCGTATCTGACCCGCGTTACGGGCGATCTTCTCCGGCGGCTCTATCATGCTCTTCGCGCTACCGTTTAAGCTACGTTTACGACTCTTCATGAAGTCTGAAAACATACAACAATCGAACATGTATACATCCGTGGAAACACGTAATTCGCTCGCAAACAGAAAAAACAAAAAAACGTTCCGAGACCTTGCGTGATAAAAAACACGACGAAGGAGACGGGTAATTTTAGCTCGTTAATCAACAAAGTTTCAACCGTCCGGCGAGCGTTGCTCGAATCGAGCATTCTAAAATCGAGCGTCCTCCTAATCGCATGCAGCGTGAAGTCCGACCTTGTGCATCGCTCGCGATAACCTTACGAATGTAATATCGACTCATCGTGTCTGTTAATTATATATCGGTGACAGATAAGATATCCGCGAGTCGTCGCGAACCTCGCGTAAATCGTGCAACCGTTACGAAATAATAAGATGCACGAAACTTTGTTCCTCCTATGAGAACCTTTAATGAGTCACGATATAGGAAACTCGGCACAAAAACGCAGCCTGCGCCAAGCTGATCACTCGCGATCATGACTCACGTCTGCGTCGCATTCAGCTTCGAACGAGCCACAAAAACCCCTGTCTCGCCCCCTCGAATCAACATTTGGCGAATTTCCACGGGGAAGCACCACGCATCTGTTCAATTTTCCGAGCCAACCCTCCCGTGACCTTTTCTAGTCCCGCTCGCGACGCCACGCGACAAAATTATGGATATTTTTCGGGGCTAGAGAGTCCCGCCCCCTAAAGTAACATTTTCAAGAATTTCAAAAGTATCGAAGAACCCACTTAGTGTCGCGTTTGTCGTGGAACGAGCCTATTGTAAAACACCCGGTATAAGAAGATAAATCTCAAGACAAGTTACATTAGCATAGTCCTCGTCCAGTATTTCTTTTTTCTATGCAACCCTTTCGGCGAGTTCGCAGTTTCACGAACGAGGAAAGAATCGATGCGATTTAAATGCCGGGATTGTGCGCGTATGCGGGTTGAAACGATCAGGATTTAAAATACGAATCGAGCCACCCCGCGTGGGGGCTTTGGGGGGCATCCACCCCGGTTTAGTCGGGGATGCGATCACGATGCTAGCACAGCTGATACCCCCATGGTTTGCTAACGCGCAGGAGGGGCACGCTCGCACGAAGGTCGCACGCGTGAACAAAAGCTGATGACCGACGGGGGTACGCGGAAGAGAACGGGAACGGGGGTGCAGCAACCCCATATGGACTGACTGTACAGCTGACCGCGTGGCTCATTAATAACGTACGTTAGGAAAATCAGTCGGCACCCCTATTGCATTTACAGCCAGACAGAACGGCGGTACGTTACGATCGTGTTCGTTATCCCGTATACTCGAAAAATATGGGGAACAGAGGGTGGAGGGTATATACGTACGCGTCGAAACGGACCGTATCGGCAAATCAAAACGCGTCGTGCGGTGTATCGATCCGGTTAATCGAACAGCGAGCGTATCGTCACGATATTATCGTTAAATAATAACGGTTACTGTCGCGCGACGCACGCGACCACTGAAAGCCGAGCCGCAGAATAAACATCAAAGGTAAGACCAATTACGCGTAATCTCGCGCAATTAAGCCAATGTTTGAGCATGTCGCGGGTCGAAGACTCGGCTCTAGACTTTGCAGAAATTCCTGTAACGCCGGGACCACACCGTGCGATCACCGATAAGCGATCAAGCGTTTTTTCTAAAGAACCAATGGCGCGAGAAAATGATAACACCGGGATTTACGGTCGATACGAGTCGGAGGAGGCTCCGGAAAAATCGCGTTCTTCGAGGGATAACCGTAATTAGTAAATTACCCGACGAATTCGGAATTTTTTTAGTTATGAAAGTGTCTTTAATTTGTTTTTAATTGCGTGACTACAATTTCTGTTTGATATGATACGACAAGTATTATCTCGCAAATTCAACGGCGTGTAACGTAGTACCGATCAAGGTCTCGAGATAAGAAATGTAAAATATACGTAGAGAGACCATATATGTATAACAAACTTCACGAAACGTTTCGTACATCCGACGCGTATACATTTGCGTAATTCCTTGTTAATTAAAAAAAAAAAAAATTAGGTCTAGCCGTATGCATTGCACTAAATAAGCTTAGCGTACTCCAGATGCACGGTTTTTTCAACAGTTTTATCGGCCAAGCAAATCCGTCGTTGTGGATACAATGCGACGCATAAACAAATGAACGTCGTCGCGTGCTGCTGCGACGCAAAATGTGTTTACACCCGTGTAGATGCATGGCGTGCGGGATACATGACGAGTCACGTCCAGAAATAGTGGCGTCGCGTGGGTGGTGTGCACACCCGAATAATAAATAGGCGAAAAAAAAAGGGAACTAGACCGTGAGGTACCATCTGAACAAAATGGCCGTGTGCAAGATACGGATACAATACGGAAGGCCTCGCGTGAACAGATCACGTCCAAGGAAGCGATAATACACGGGGCGTCCGAAAATTGCAATCGATTTGTTTGAAAGGAACGTTGTTGCAGAAAAGATCGCGTGCCCCGCCGGTTATTCAAATAATCGATAGGCGAATTATTCTGTAATAATATTTATCGTTATGTCATTCTTGTTTACGCTCGCGCGCGTATAATTATCGAACGATGCTTATCCGTGCCAAAAATATATTTCTTCAATTTTATTTTGATTTTTATCGCTCCACTGTGAGTTTACATTAATTTTATCTAATTCGCATCCGTGGAAATACTTTCGTTATTCGACGAGCGTTCGTTACCGATCGATTCATCGACGTAACGTACAAAGTCTCATTGTAATATTGATCTGGAAGTCAATGGTATTCCTTAATGCACGAAATATATATGCACAATGTGGTACACGGGTGCAATTCCTTCTTTTTATCAGGTGCTTACGTAATTACGTAAATTACAAAGACCTTGGCTGTCGGTCGGCGTATTAGATTGACCTAGGCTGTACACGCTTCCCGTATAAATAATACCAGTCAATTAACTGCGATAATGCGCGTTAATCAAACGGAATAATTCAAGAAATCTCGTGTTCGACCACCGAGTAATTGAAATATCAATTTTCCTTATGCATTACACCGGTCAATTATATTATTTTCAAAGTTGATTCCTAACCTCATAGCTAATAATCACTTGCAACGCGCATGATCTCTTCGAGAATTTACGTCAAATTAAATATAGATGTTGAGGTTAACCCCCTTTAGCATTCAGTATTTTTAAGTTAATTACATGCTAGACATGATCTTTTTCGTAAAGGAAGGACTCTTTGAACATTGAAAAGGTTAATATGAGCAAAGATTACTGACTTTTTCGCGTATCTTGCACAGTGACCGACAGTCGTTTTACCCGCATGGAGAAAAGGCGCGCGTGTTTACGTCACTGTTTCGTTTTCAACGTACAATGGCAATTACGAGGCAGAGAAAAAAAGAACGTTATCGCTTACCGGTTATGGAGGACTGTTTCCTCGTGGTGGTGGTCGATAAAACAGGGGTGGTGGGTTCGACGATGTACACTTTCTTGTCCGATTCGAAGTCGAATATTTCGTTCATGGTGACCTCGCCGATGTGCGGTACTCTTGGCTCCTGCGGCGGCGTCCTTTCCGATTTCTGGAGGATCGGAGTCGTCGGGGATTCTTTACGCAGTAATCTCGTGGTGGGCGAAGACTCCCGTGCCTTTCGTGGCGTGCTAGGCGCGTGTTTCCTTAAGTAGGGCATACCGCGTAGGGCATAGGGCTCGGGGACCACGTCTTGCGGCGTGACGAGTTCCCACTCGTACCTCGAATTCGCCCTCGGTATCTCCAAGTGAAAGTCAAATCCCCATCTCTCAGCGTCGAGTATGGACTGAGCGCGAAGCTCCCGCTCCGCCAATGCACGAGCCGCGGCATGATCGACAGGTCCGAACAGGTCTCTTCGAACACGGGCAAGGGCTGCTCTGCTGGGCACCGCTCGTCCTCCACCCAAATTCCTACTCATTTCCGTCATCATCACCGGATTCAACACTCGTGCGCTCATATTTCGTCAGTCTTTCGCGCCGACAACGTCGCCGTTCCCCTCGCACGGTTACCAATATTTAACTACGGTCACACGAAGAAACAGCTTCTGTTTCTTTTTTTGCGGTCACGGTTCCTCTCTGTCTCTGATCCCAGAACGTGATCCGGCACCTGGCCAGCACCACTCTCTCCGAACTTCAACACGCGCACACCACTAAGTTAATAATCGTCCGTTTTTGCATCGGTTCGTTGCGTTCACACACGTCCCATTTACGAAGATGATTCTTCCAGGAATCGTCCACGGAACGTTGAAATACTCGCGGCTCGCCAAGACGTGGCAACGTTGTCGTGGCGCGACCCACCGAATTTCGAATAATGGCCGTGCTCAGCGTCACCTCGCGACTACGCTGATCGTTGACTCGTCCATGGGCGCACGAAATAATCCGCAAAAATGATTTTCGCCAGCACACATCCGCGAATCGACGGATTATCGACGCAACGAGACTGTATTTCCACCGTAGAAACGTGCACGACCACTAACAAAGTTTGGCAACACGGTAAACACAATACTGCGTATCACGAGCAAGCGAGACGCAGGATATCAAAACAGCAACACGGCTATCTCATATTTCCTGAGAGTCCGATACACGGCCCGGCCGTCGAATTAATCGAAATAATGTCCAGAAATTGACGACGGAATCCGTTCTCGATCTCTCCCTTTTCTTTTCTCATGAATTCGTCACTATAGCCTGCGGGAGGATAGAATCGGCAACGTCGCACGCACTTGCGCGTGAGCCTCCCAAAGAGACGGAGAGCGTGTTTCGACGTGTTCCCGCGAAGAATGTGACGATGTTGTTCAAATTTAAAATTTCCTGTCTATTACGTTCGGCCGACGTCGTAATTATCACGTTCGTGTACGATAACGCACAACAAAGATATCACATTCGGTCCATTATCCAACGGAAGAAAATTTCACGGAAAACGTATTGCACACGGCCCGAAAGCACCAATATGCTGCTCGCTGGCACGATGTGGAATCACCAAATTGACTCCGTTGCTGTATAAAATCCAAAGGAGAACGCTTCCCGCCAAACACACGACTGTCAAGACACACGCGTGGTTCCAAGTTCGGCGGAAGGTCGTACACGATTGCGCAGTTATGTTGACGCCTGACGATGTGCGTGCGTACTCTGCAACTCACGGAGTTGCGCGAAGAGACGTCCAACACGTGTAAAGCGCTCTCTAGCGACTGAAGCATGCGCCTCTCGTTGCAAGTGACCAAGCCTCTAAACTCGTCGGCCATCTTCGGCCGTCGTCGGTCTACCTCGGCGTCACCCCTTTTCCCTCTGCCGCTACGGGGAAGAAACGAAATAACCGCCATTTGCAGACTACAGTCCCTTCAACCTGAGCGCAGCACTTTAAGACTTTGAAAATACGCATGAGAAGCTTGTACAGTTATTGGCCCCTTCTCTACAGCACATAAACGAGCAGAATGCTGATGATAGTCATTGAACGTGTACCAGTATGCCAAGTTCTATGGTAAATACCCTTCAACTTCATTTTTTCTGTCGGGTCTATTTTACCCAAAACCTTGACAAACCGATAAACCATGATCATGTATTTGTACGCTACCTTTTCATACAATGTGCACAATTATTCTCAAACTGTGATAGTACCTGTTACTGATAAGAAAGAAACAAAAGTTTGTTCCAAGTATGGCTAGTACGATCGAAAATTTGAAAGCTAGAGAAGCTATAAAAGTTGGGTTAATTTTACACGGTGAAAGTTTCGTGGTTCACGCTAGTACAATGCTATTTAGAAACAAGTTGATCGACGAGAAATGTTAAGCACGTCGTGTATTGACAAAGGGACGAAAAATAAACAAGTCCAGCTTTCAAAACAACGGCTGTAATCTTATCACGGACACTCGTACGTACGTTTATTCGGCGGATTTCCATGTTTGCATGGCAATACGTTACGAACAGTGAATGTATTTGCATACTGTTCAGATTATCGTGGACATTTCGTTTTGACCGATAGAAGCTCCCATAGTTTAAACACCGTGCTGAGAATTAGAACACCATACTTGGACGAAATGGTCGAAAGACTTTATCTTTTTGCACTTTCGTCGAGACAAAATACGAAACAGTAAATTGGGTTCACTCGTATTTACGTTTACAGGTGTTTGGAATATATATTCAGATATGTCAATCGACTGTTTTACATTGAGCATTGTTTCTATTTCTATAAAAAATCGTATACTTTATTGTACACGCTTGAAATACGTTTATTTATTCGATTTCGAAGTTTAAGTAAGAATTTAAATTTATTTGCCAGCCTAATGTACACGTATAAGTGCTTACGAGTTTTGGTTGAAAAATATTGTGCATATGTAAAATATCAATTGGCGATTGCTCGTTAATTTTCATGTATATCTCGATGGTGATTGTTAGGCAGCAGATGTTTGTTGGGTCGTTGTTAGGAAAGTCACGAGATCAACGAGGCGAATCGACACTTTTCATTGATAATTGTCAATTTACTTCGTTGCTGTTCTCGTGGCCTAAATCGTTCGTATTTTCTGCAGAAGGCAACGGAGAAATGGTTTCGTGTCGCGTGGGACGCAACTCGCGTCGAGCAGACTGTGCACGAACGATCATCGTGACCAATCACGGCGCGCGTTGCCACGTAGCGTTGAGTAGTGTTAGTGGATATCCGTTCTATAAAGTATGGCCGACCAAATGGCGCCACTATAGGCGCGCGGGAAACTTTCAAACATTCGAACCGAGTACAGACGATAAAAACACTCCCAATAAACATTTTGCACCGTAACCGTGATATCTTGTTCAATTATTATTAAAATCGACGCCCGACTCTTATCGACGGCTCTGATCTCAATTTCGATCGTTTGTTATTTTCGAAATATCTTCGAAATTCTGATAACGATATTCCGAAATGTTTTTAGCTACAAGGAAAATAAGAGAGAAACAAATAAAAAGAGCGAGAAAGACGATCGAGAGGAATAAATTCTCATGCAAAGATTGTAAAGCGTGTCGTTGGAAATGAAAATCCCACGCAACATCCAGGAAGTGGTGAGGGTGGCACCGGATGCATCTCAATGAGGGGAGAACGAGCGAATGAGTCGCGTAAAACAATCCTTTTTGCGTTTCACCGAGACTACCGTCTTTCTTTCATCTGCGGTTAGGTGGAGTACCCGTTTAGCAAGGTATTTCGTTGCACAGGTGTTCTCTCATGGTTCGCTCTAGACGAAGGATGGAAAATAAACACCGCCCGTGTGCTCCCTCCTCATCCTTGCCCTCTTATTCCGTATAACGCCTACTGCGTCTATCTTCCAGACGATGAGCTGTCCTAGATTATTTCTCGAGGAAGCTCGTGTTTATACATCCTGCATAGACGACCGGAAGACGCGTGGTTGCATCTGCATCGTGTGTTTACTATCGAGGTAATCACCTGTTCCATCAGAAAGGAGGATTTCGCTATCAAATCCGGGTTTGCCGTCCTTGCGCGTTATCTCGTTGCTTGTACGATGCTTTAGAATGAAAATGTAACCGCGATAAATCATTTTTATCGAGCTCAAGGTGGTAGATTCTGGAACTCGAGGTTGAGAATGATGATACTCTTTTGTGCGACGCGATAATAGATAATGCGGTTTCTTTTTGTTTACGCCGGTGGAATTGCAAGATTTTAAAGATAGTAGATATCGATAGGCATTTAATAATCTGTCTCGTCTCGGGATCGTTCATTAGCGATACGTGTTTGTGAAATTCTTGAGCACGGTATTGTCCAATGGTTCTTCGGAACAATGAAGGTGGTGCGCGTTATACGCGAACATCTTTTGTCGTAGTCGTGATTGTGCCCACTTCCGTGGGAATTCGCGGAACGGAAGTGCAATTTTTGGCAATGGGTACACCACCGTCAGCTTCCATGGCGCGAGCAACGTGAAAAAAAGCGATTCTTAAGAAGCAGTGCCAGGTGCATGGGCCGCCTTCTCACGAGAGCTCGCGATTAAATGTTAAGAAATCGTGATACTCGTGGAATTAGAGTTGACGTTGCTTTCAGAGAAAGTTAAGCGGTTCTCGGTGTAATTCTGTACACATGCAACTTGTAAATCTTCAGGGATTAACTTTAACGTAGTGTAATTTGCACAATTTCGATGTTATATTCGTTGGCGTAAGCTCTCAGAAAAGCGAAATGTTTCTGCCTCGACGAAAGATGCATTTAACAGATGTGTCATCTCATTCTGACGCCTAGAAATTAGGTCGTGCATAACTCGAACACCATATGCTTCGGAACGTCCAATTGCTTTTTATTATCAAAAAAGGAGAGAAAGTTTTTCAAGACATTGCCAGAGACAGTGATTTATAAATTTGTAAAGAGATATATTATTTCGTTTGTCTATAAAAAGTACAGTCATTTTTATATAATTTATTCACAATATATAATATCATTCGTTCGTTAATCACGCGTATTGCACGCTGTTCTTCAATAAATATCTAATTAAATAATTATATACGGGCACTATAAAATTGGTATAAATAATACAATAACAAATATCACGGCATACGACTTTCGATTTCCAAATTGCCATTAAAAGTCGAATTCTTTCGTTTATGTTGAAACTCGTAACTTTGGTTTACTAGCTCCTCGGACATTTGATCATGTCCACTCTGACTAGAGGTAAAATTTATGTTCTATTCGACGACGACTCGACAATTTCTACCTAAAATTTCATCGATCTCTCGGCCTCTGTATCACTCGTTTCGTTCGAATTGGAATACCGATTCCTTCTTCAACAAAGAATCCCAAAACGAACGAATCGTCTCGCCACTATTTTCATGTACTGTCGGTCATGTTCTCATCGTCTTTGTCTTCCGAATGTCCCGCAATCGTAACGTGGTCGTCCTTCTGCACGGCTTGTATATTTTCCACCCGATTGCACGACTCCAATGGATTACGAATTTCGTTTCGGTCCTGATCGAGTTTCACCCATTCGTAACGGCCGGGCAAAGGTTCTTCTTTCTCGAAATCGAAATTCCATCTCTGTTTAGCCTGCGTCCAAACAAAAACAGAAAACACCAGTAACGCCGAGGGGGGGGGATATCGAACACCGTATTGCGCGTATTTACTTTCGGATCAAGGTAATTTATGTTTTCTTGGTTACTCACGTTCTCTCGGTTCTTCCGTGCCTCTTCGAAAAAACAATTCGCCAGATTGTCTTCGATGCCGGATCGTCGTCCCGTATCGACCTCGTCGTCCTGGAAAAGTCTTCTACGCACGTTCCGCAGTCTTCTTCCCTCTTGCAAATCGATGTTCGGATATTGCATCGTGAGCCGGGCCCTAATAGATTCGAATCAACTTTAGACATTCGCGATACCTAGATCGACAGAATCGTACAATTTTAAACGAGACGACGGAATCACGGAATTATCGCGCGTTATTAAACCTACCGACTGTAGCCGCGATCGGTCGGTTTTGATTTGCGATGCATTCGAGAATAATAATGGAAAAATTATACAGAAGGCCGTGGACGAACAGATGATACAACCGTGCTGCATATATTCAGACTTAAGAATATCAAATAGTGCAATGCGAGTTTAATTACTGACGCGCCACGCGCGATGTAACATACATAGTAGTTCGTTGTGGTTTGTAAACAGTATGATATGCATCGAGTGACTCGCCGCGTCGGAGAGCGCGCGAGTCTATGCACGTAGATTGGCAAAAGAGAAAGAGAGAACACAGAAGAGAAACCCGTAGCACTGTCGGCCAATGTGCCGTTGAACGGATGTATCGGAATGCATTTCACTTCCTGCATGAACGTATGCTCGCATACCGGCTAATAGTTATTATTCTACATACGTAAGCGCAGACGAGATAAATTTTTGCGAGCACAACAAAATCCTCGATCGACGATCACAACCGAAAACGTTTCTTTTGCTCGTAATGGCTTATTTGGTCGTGGAATCGTAGGAAACTGGTCTTTTCGCCGTGAGAAAGCAATCGACTTTAGATCATGTTGCTACTGGGTTTCTTTAGTTGGTCAGAAACTGGTTTGTCTCGAAACTTTTGCCACCGTAATATGAATTTTCGTTGGGGGTTCGCCTAGACGGAGGTGAGACTCGAGGGTAGATTTAAAGCGTGTAACCGCGACTGCAAATAAATCCGAAAGCGTAATTTTATCGAGGTACACAATCAACGGGTGTGTAAGATCAAGGCACCTTGCGCGAAACAAAGAATCCGTACAGAGGAGCGTGCACCTGCCCGTACCTCGCATCCGCCGTTTATGGTCTCTGAACCTTTTAATATCGGTGTCGTGGCCTCTTCGACCCGCTGCAACAACAAACTCGGAATTATTTTTATTTCGGTGAAATCAGGTGCACGCCACCCTCTTGGCCCGATCGTTAACGTTCGAACGAAAAGCTCCTCCGATCGGAATACAAATCCATTCACGGTGTCCGTTAGTCTACGGCGTTAATTAGAACACTTACATCTTCGACGTAACTTTCATTTTCCAACCGGCCGGAGGGCAGAATCGCGGACGGGATTATCGCGATTTTCTTTTATTACGGATCACAAGCACGTAAACACGTAACGCGGTTCACTCCGGTTTCATTTTGGTATCGCGAAGGACTCGTGATTTCCTTCGCTGGAAATGCGTCCCCTACGGTTCGCTGTCAGCTGGCGAAAAGTTCTTAGCTCGAATAGCAACGGGATCGATAATCCCATCGTTTTCGTCGGGGGTGTGGACTCGTACTAAAGCACGAGGGGGTACTTTAGTGCGCGCGCACGTTGCAACGAGAGATGGTTCGTCAGTGCGCATTCGCACGGATATCGATATTCGACACTCTCGGTGTGCACCAACGTGCGACTCTATCTCTCTGTCATTGCACCGTGACCATTCGATTGCAACCATCGGACTGCGAGAAACGCTTTTTTTCCCTCGATATCGCGCGTATTTTATTAGCTCGGGGTCTATAAAACGTCCTTTTCCCAAGCCTTTATCTCGCCATACGGTCGCGTAAGAGAAACTTGACTGTCAATTCTTATACTTCATCGCCCCGCGTTGATCTTTCCGTTCAGAGATGGACCCGCGTGGCAGAGCAAACGTTCAAACATAACGCACCTCAAACTCTACACCTTTTTCTCGATGGCTATGGTTTTTAAACTATCGTGAATATTGCATAGAAGCGAACCTATTAAACGCAATAGCGTGGGGCGCATACGACCCACGCGACTCGAATAGAAAGTAAGTAAATATCGGCTCGACACGGAACGAGTCACAGACCACTACAATTGCAAACAAATATTGCAAATAAAATGTAGATTTTGATGGAACTTCGCAGACTTGTGAAACAGCCAAAATGGTAACTGCGATTTCAACAAGTGTTACATTCTGAAAGTTTCAAAACAGCCCGATGTATCGCACGCATCGAGTTGATAACTCCGCGGCACGCGTGCTTCGATCGTGGAATCGAATTTTAAACAGACTCGGTAAACAACATGATTCGCAAATAACACGTAAACTAACCTCGAGTTCAGATTCCCGACGGCTCGATTCTCGAGCATAATCTAATTCTAGATCGAATTCACCGGCTGGGTCCTCGAGGCACTGATAACGAATCGGTCGTCCGAATATCTTTAAGAAAATGGTGTACTCGTGCGAATGCAATTGCACAGCCAGAGGCAGAGGCACGAGGCTGCAGCCGGTGCAAGGCTCCAAGTGCGACTGACGGAAAGTTAGAATAGTCACTTGCATCCCAGGTGCAGCGGAATAGCCTAGATTTTCTTTTGTAGACTATTAGTCACGAGCAACAGTCTAACAGACGCATGCGCGAATATCCATTAACCAAGTGATTCATTATGTTGTCGTTCGTCCCGGAATGTAATTGTTCGCGACGGCGATGTCATCAAATCATCAAATCATTGGGGAATTATCGACGAGCTCCCTCGTCCGCGAATGATATCTACTTTCGCGGAATCGTCGAGGGCAATTACGAGCGGGAGGATCGATTCGACGGATGTTTGCCCGCGGAAGATCAATTGTTCGATCTGAAATACTATATCGGTGTCGCGAAGCCTCTGCCAGCGTATCGAATTCTAGTTGTCGGGCGATAAACCGATCGATCAATATTTGCGAGCCGGAATAAGATCGAACGCAATCGAGAGGCGAACTGTTACAGCCGAGGAAAGATAGGAAAGAGGCATCTTCTTCGCGTTGCCAGGGAGAAAAAACTGAAACGTTTCCGTGAGAGTGTGGCCGGTAGAATGGCGGGAAGTAGAACGGTAGGAAATTCTCACATATAGAGAGATACACGTATTCTCCGGAGAATTCTTCGTAGGCTGTAAAAAAGCGGCAGCTGGGAGTAACCTAGCAGCTAGATAGCTTCTCGGCTATGCGCTTCTTGGACGTGCTTCTCCTCTGTTTTCCTTCACCTTACGCTTCCTTCGATCGTCCGACCTTCTTAACGGCTTCGTTACAACCGTCGTTTCGCACTATTCCGCGCCGGTGTTCCGCATCGTAACTTCCGAGAAAATTGCTGCAACTAGGTCGCCCATAATTTAGTTTCTTTTTATTTTCTTCCCGCGCCTTGCGCATCCATTTTCAACCAGTCAGCTGTCGATAGAATCTCTCTTTCGGAGAAAGGTCTGTTCGCTTCGATTCCTGACGCGACGCGAATCATTTGCATTTTTTGACCTCGATCGATTCCGGGCTCGATCCCCATAATTACCCAGTCACGAGATCGCGCTAAGGTCGGGTAGAGAAATACTCGATCACTCGGTAGAGGAACTTGACCATTGGAAAGGATCCAGGTTGAAGTTCGCAACGTTCACGATGTGCTCGAACGTTTACCGCGTGTGACCAGCATGAGCATCGCTTCCAAACGACCAAACGCGCCTGATTAATATTAACGCTAGAGAACCGAACCGTTACCATCCAAAATGAAGCGCAACAGTAAACCGCCGATGCTTTTTGCGCCGCCTCTCCGCTCGAATTAATTCCGAGCGGCCGACAAATTTTGACGCGAATGATTTCTTATCGGCGCGAGGTCGGTGTACGGAATTTTTACGAGAACCTATTCATAGTTTCGTCACTCGATTTCGTAAACCGGCTGTGCGAAAGCCGACGCGTCTGACCGATATCGGAGTTGTTGCTTTTGCCTTGAACGCGTCCTTCGCTCGGTTTGTTATCGTAGTCGTGAAAATTACGTAATTTTCTCTGCACCATTCGCTCCTATCTGCCTTATCGCTAATTTGTTTCGAACACTTATTCTATGCTAGTTACGAAACGTTGCTAGATCTTTGAGCAAACGTTCTCCTTTGCAGGCGATTCGATCATTGCGTTTATTTAGCACCATATGTTTCCGTCCCTCCTGCATTCCTTACTCGATTACATAAATACCGATCAAAGTACGTTGCATTAATTTCATTTCAGAGTTTCATATTAGGATTCAGGTAATTCTGGGGTAGGAATTTTGGTTGCTTTCCGATAGGTATGTTTCGACCGGCGATTGCCACGATTGCCACGATTGCCACGATTGCGTACATTTCCCAACGAACCGTGCCCTTTTCGAACGACCGCAGACAACGAACTCCGAGCTCTTCCTATGAATGGAATGCATATTCATTCATTCTCCTTCACGGTATCGTCGCGTATACACGTGTTGCTCGCCGCGGATCCCGACATATGCTAAAATCTTTTGCGCCAACTGTCGCTTCCTGCGCGTATCCATTGACCTTGAAATATATTCCAGCGAAAAGGAATCACCCCGGTCGCGGTCCGTTTGACGAGGAAGCGCGTAAAAAGAAAATGGTTCTCGAATGTAGGAAGGATACCGTCGATGTCTCTCGCGTTTCTACCTATTCCCGTAACCGGGCTTTCTAACGAACGATCGCGCGTACTCGAGGTTCGGTATAAATAGCCACGAGTTGCCGGAACAGCCGCGATTTGTTATACTTTCCGTGTAACAGAAAAAAGAAATAAATGCAACGAGCCCCCCCATCAATTAGGGAGCAGAGACTGTTCAGCTTGACGACACTCCCTTTAAATCGCTCCCTTCTGCGGACGCGCGTGTGCCCTGCGTTATTTAAACGCAGCCTGGATCGTTACGGAGGGCTCATCCGATTCGGAACGCCCTCGGGAATGTTTCCTGTCGGACGTTTTCGTCGGATGTACGCGTTTTTAGGGGCGGGAAACCATACGAGGAAACCGAACGACGCACGGAAACGCCAGCAAAACGTTAAAAAAGTGCCCCGAAGGTACCTCGGATTGGGTTTCGGGGTGGACACGAGCATCGAACACCATACTAAATTCTACATGTTCGATCGACCTTCGAGAGGATACTTTGAAAAAGTGACTCTTTTACGGCAGAAATACACTGGGCGGCGTCTCTCACGTGCGGCCAATCTGTCTACGAGGCGTCGCGTCGCTCGTCGCCGGCGGCATTTATAGAAACGGGGCTGCGGCGACGCCGCGCGTAGGGCAAGAAAGAATCGTGGAACGCGCGCAAAAAGCGAATCAGTCGGGCGCAATCGTTGAAATTAATTCGGTTCGCCTCTGCTATGCGAAACGGCTAATCGCATTCTCGCACCTGTTATGCTAAACGATTCGGTGGCACGTACGTAATCGTTTTAAAATATGTGCGCCGTGCGAACAGTACGCGCTTCCACGCAACGGATAACACGTTATTTTTGCAAATGAACAGCTCGGGGATTATCGGTCGGCCGTAATCGACGTAATTATTTATGTTCGTTAGCGGAACAGTTTTCGTGACCGCTGGAAGACGCCTGGGAAAATTCTTCCGTCTGTTCCGTAAACAAGAACCGCGCGAAGGGTTCGTTAACCGGCCACATTCCACGCTTAATAACAACGAGAAATCATTATAGGGATATATGCCGGCGTGCACGTGGTTGCACTCGCCACGCAGCAGGATCCACGATTCGCCCTCCCCGATGCCCCGTCGATGATCTTTATCGACTTAATTAATTTGGAATTCCGCGCGATACCGAGTACATATTCCGGGACGCGCGTGTGCGCATTGAGCGCTGTTCAATCATCCTCGCGTATGTTTCGCACGGAATAATTAACGCGATACGGTAGAGTCCCGATTATCCGGCACGTTTCCCTCGACCAGGCTTCGATAAATGTCACGGAATATACTTCACGGTCGCGTGCATCCGTTTCTTCCAATAATCCGCCAAACGTAACTTTCGGGAGAAGAAACGATCGCAGGTGTTGGGGGAAAAAAATGAACGGTGACACGATTCCGTGGAGAAGGGACCGCTCGCGGTCGTTTCCCATCGTTTTGATCGTAAATTCGCGACAATGGTTCCTCCTCTCGAAATAGGTTAAAACCACCCACATCTCGTCGCAAATCTACACACCCGTTCGGCTTTCCCGGCGATCCCATCGCACGGAAATAGATTCACGTAGGTCGTGGACACAGCTGCGGATTTCTATCTAGTATTTATTTTGTGTTCACGCACCGTTCGCCCATTTGCGGCAGGTCAGCGTCGTTCCTCGACCCACGTATCGGCCAACGAAACGACACTTCGCCGTCGCGTTTCCCCGGCAGAAAAAATTCCATGTCCTCGAAGGCGACGCGTCGCGTGGACTCGCTCGATTTTACGACCGTCGCCTAGCCACCAAACAGACTCTCGCCTTTTCTTTTATTTTTCACCCGCTAACGCCCTCGGATTTTCAAACCGCGTACAGGGTGGCAGGCCACGAGACCTTTTACGAGCCGTTTTTCCCCAGAACTCTGGCTCGAAGGGCACGGGCGTTTCCTCGCGAATATTCAAATCGGAGCGTTCACGGTGGCCGCGCGTGCAACTGCAAATTAGCCGGGGCAGAAGCGCGATTATCGGTTTGACGGTCCGACACGCGAGAGGAAAGCGAAAGCGTCGCGCTAAAAGAGTCTCTTGACCTACCAGACTTTCGCCGCGATACGTACACGCGTAAATTTCCGTCGACGCGACGGTCGGTTTGGTTCCTCCTCCGCGGTCGCGGGTTTCGCGCGATAGGAACCGCCGCGGTTCGGAAATTCGATACGGAAGCTCGCGAGAGAGTCCTCGTGTTGTTCCGGCGACAGTGACAAAGCCCGTTGGATACTGTTTTACGCCGTGATCGGCAGAATAAAGAGAAAGGTGTCTCCCGGTTGCTGTGGGTGCATTCAACCTGTCCGGAATTTAAAACCCTCGCACAATAACCTCCTCTTTCGTACGCGGAGAAATCCAAGACTCGCCTCGTGAACTCGAGGAGCACAGGAAAGGCCAAACCAACGATGTAACGTTACACTGTTAAATCCCGTATGTAACGCTAGTCTCGTCCAGGCACTCTCTCCGCCCGTGAGTTACCGGATGCAGGACCGACCGCAACGCGACAGGATCCATGCTGTCAGGAGGGATGCGTGTCTTATCGCGAGACAACCTCCTATATCGGAATCAAAGGTGTCGAACGTACCATTAGGAAAGAAGACGTCGAGACCTCGGGGACAAATCTACCGCCATTCTTTATCGAGACGAGAAAACGACCATAGCAGATATTATAAGAGAATTGGCTGTGTCGCGTACCTGTGTCTCGCAGCCAGCATGTTGACGGGAATTCCGGGCGTTGTAAAGAAACGCGATTCGCAAGAGGACCGTACTGTGCAAGTTTGCCGCAGTAACTGAAGCTCTTTGGCTTCGTCACGAGGTGCAGAACGCCGACAGCGCTTCCACGTTTTAAAGCCTCTCGT